CTCGTCCCTACAGAGGAGCTGGCTCTGGGGAGACCAGTCCAGCCTCCAGCACCGCGCTGTTCTCCTGATAAGGGGCCACACCGCTACTGTCTGCGTCTCCCATCAGGACTGATAGTATCTAACATCAGGCTTCAACCTGCTGTCTCACGAACCAGCTCATTCAGGGCCACAGGCACTCCGTCAATAAGACACCAGAAACAGCTGATCAACCAAACTCTTCTATACTCAGTGTTACTCATCTTTTGATGCTCAATACATTTTAAAAAGCCATTAAAGAAAAAAGACTAGTTCTGTGATGTTAAGTAATCTTTCCTTTTGGTGAAATTAAAGTTAATGATGTCAAGAACAAAAATGTAAATTTAGGATAACACTGAAATAAAAAGAAAAAATATCAAACCCTGAAATGAGTATAAAGGTCTGATTATGAATATACTGTATTTACAGGCATTCTAACCCTTCTCTAGGGAGACTTGTCCTGTGGGTGAAGAACAAGGACACACAGAGTCAGTCCAGCAGAGATCTGCACCCCTCTGTCCCCCACACTGACTCTAGCAGTGACTGTGAGCAGCCCTGACAGACGGACACAGCCAGACCCCTGCAGTGAGAGCTGACACTGTTACTGCAGCAGAGTCCTCTAACTAACACACCTGCCCACAGGACACTCAGATTCCCAGCAAATCAGACTCAGGAGAGTGCAACTGGACAGGTTTCAGAAAGAGGAACACGAGCAGTTCTAGATGAATCACTCTGCACACATCTGTCTCAGCTGGATTAGTCTCAGGATTAGTCTGCCTCTATCTGTACACAAGCATTTCGATAAGGGGCAGACAGGAATCCAAATTCACACTGGTGCACTAAGAATTACATTGATAAATAAAACACAAATTGCTTTAATTAAAAAAATGTTGTTTTAATAAATGTGCATAAGTTGCTTTATTCACTACATTTTAATTGAAAACAAATTACAGAAAGTATGAAAGACTAAAATGCACACTACCTAAATGCTGCAATCATCTCTTAACAAGGGTATAGTTTCTTAAACATAAAATATTTACGTTTTGAAACAAAAAGGCAACAAACCTGATCAAAATCTATGGACATTAAGTGTATGATTACAGAAACAAGACATATATCATGAAGAAATCCTAACATCTTTGAAATAAGCGCAGAAAAGGATGACCAATAATTCAGAAGAAAGTAATAATGGGAAACACTTACTGTTCTGTGTGGTCAGAGAGTCTGTCAAAGGAAAAATTAAAGCATTTCAGTACAGAAAGAAACAGAACATGAAATGTGAAAATTCAGATGAACTGAAGTCTGCAAACATCTTAATATAAGAGTAACATTTCTTACTGGTGGATAAGAAAAAAATAAGGAGAGCACCACAAACCACCAAAACATCACTTGACACCAGAACTGTAGGATTTGTGGAATCAAAACTGACCATTACTAAATCCTGAACTGTATCGAAAACTAGAAACTGTGCAGTATAGGACTGAAGAACATGAAGGACAGCAGTGATGAGGGAAACACTCACCGATCTCTTCGGTCAGAGCTTCTGTCAAA